ATCTATACTCTGTAAAACTAGTGCTGAAGAAGGTCACTTTCGTGTCTAGACTCACCTTACCTAATTTATAGAGAATGGTTGGTTTCAATGAATCAAAAACTTTAAGACATTCAGAAGAATAACATGTTATTAAAATATCCCTCAATGTTTTGGAAAGGTTGGCAGTTTGAAGAGGAAACGGCAGGCAGAATACTTTACAAAATCGCGGATGACTCGCATGTGTTCCAATTCCACAGCGAGGCAGAAGGAGAATCTTACGCCAACGAAAATGTTGTCGACATTGATACAGAATTGACAATTGAGCGAAACTCTCTGATTTCCTACATAAGGAATCCGAGCAGATTGCCTAGTTTCAATGAGGAAATGTCCAGGAAGTCCATTGCTGATCTTCAGGTTGCTGAAGATTTCAAGGCTGAAACTCACCAATATGGATATAAACAAAAGGAAGGTGTTAGTACAAAGTATAGCTACTGCTCTTAGATCCCGACTGGAGTGCGAACCCAACTCTGTGCTTTATACTTTTGGAAGTTATTCGCCTTGTGACATTATGACCTTTGATATTGAAAAAAAAAACAACGCGCAGCATAGTATCTACTTTTTCGGCTATTCCGCAGATGCTGTTGAAGAAGAAGTTGAGCAGCTTTCTCGCCAGCCAACAAGACGTATGCCAGAGGAGGTAAAGCCAGAGTTTGACAAGGCTCAAAAAAGTATGCAATATTCCCTTCTTGTGTTGCGAAAGCATATGCAATCTCGCTCTTTCCCCATTACTTACCGCAAAAATCTGATGGACTTACTAGAAAAGCTAGTTTCCATTCCGACTAGCACGGCAGAGGTGGAGAAAGAAATTTTCTATCCTCTGTTATCAGAACACAACGCAGAAGTCGGACAACGATGGAGCATCCAAGCAATTACTTAATCTGTCAACCTTCTACTGAACATATTGTTATCTAAAATCTTCATTTAAAGGATTGGTATAAGTGGTCCATACAGGCTATCACCGTATGACTTTTTGAAATATCCTAAAAGATGGTATGAAGAAACTGGTCACCTACCTGCGGACTTTCCTGGTGCTACCAGAGGGCCAGGAAAAAAATCACAAAAGCGCTTAGAAAAAGAAGAAAGTTTCAAATCCATTTTTGACTCAGAACGCTTTTGCACGCAAAGGCTACTTCTACTCCGATGACCTTTTGAAGGAAGAAGAAGATTTTTCAGGCAGCGAACTTGTTGCCTCTGACGTTAGCGATAGTAATATTGTTGATGATGATGTGCAGGAATTGAACTTGTTCCTAACTTGTACATCTTTTGGGGTAAACCTTATTGCTTTCGTTTTTTATTGAGGCGATGAAACAGGATCACAGATCTTCATAAAGTCAATTTTTAAAATTTTTAATTTCTTTCAAAATTTCTAAATTTTTTTCCAGTTTGTGCCTAAATAAGGTGCAAATTGGAGCTCTTCATACCACGCTTTTTTACCTTTTCTCTCTTCCTCCCCCCCTAGACTCACATACCCCCTTCACCCTGGAAGGTCGGGAACAGCCGAGACCCCCTTCACCTGGGGAGAGCTCGGCTCCTCCTATCGCACCTATGCCTGTATCTATTGATATGTTACTCCAGCTGGTAAGATTGAGCGTTTGTAACACTCCCTCGCCGGAAGCAGCAGCTTTCTACAAAGTCGCGCACAGCACAAGTTTTGGCATGAAATCTTTTCAGATTTACTCAAGGTAACTAGCTAAGGAAGTCACTGGCGCTCTGGATCTTTGATGTCTCCCATCTTTTCCATTTCTTCCTGCTTGATGACAAGCGTATCCTTGCGTTGCTTGTGCAAGAATTAAACAAGGCTATGTGTGGTTTTTGCACAATGCAAGCGAACTTAGCCAATCGCAGTATTAAGCAGAATGGAACATCACCGGTAATGCATCCGCTTGGGGTGATAATTTGTGGCTAGATGTACAAAGTTCGAGAACTCTTTAATTAGAGTTATTCATGAATTATCTTTTTTCATCTTGTACAAATATTCAAACCTGCATTCGTTTGTAAACACGCAAATTTTGTTGGAACATTTATTCACAATCTTGAATCACAGCTATGATATCTAATTTGCTCTAACAATAAGTATTCGCTCTACCCTCCAAGTATAGATACTCTTTAACGACAAATCCTCGTTACACCCTCTTCCCTACTGACGAGCCCCGGGAACGGTTTTTTGCACACGTAAAATGTACTGGGGTAGGCCGAAACAGGGTCCGGCACGAGTCCGTTTCTAGGGTTTTTGAAAACGAAGTCCCCCTGAATTTCGAGAATTTTACGAAGCCCCTTTGGCCATTGCCCTACCCCCCCCCCCCCTCCCACCTTTTGACTGTGAATGGATCAATTTTCCGGGTCGAGTCTGGAAAGCAAACAAAAGTATCTCACACGAACAACTTTAGTCATTTTTAAAGAACACTTCAACTTTTCTAAAATAACTATGTTCAACGGAAAAACCAGCATAATTCAACTTCAAAAGAACATTCGAACTTATCAAAGAATGGCTGCAAAGAAAAAAATTATCATCAGAGATCAGAAGATCAAAGGTTATTTCTTTAGATTTTTCGGTTAACAGCAGAAAAACGAAGATCAGTGAGATCAGAAGATTATCAGTCAACAGAGATCAAGAGAAAAAATCAGCAGAGATGGAAATTAGGTTGGTTGTTGGTGGTTGGTTCCGGACATGGAGTCGACTGCCCAAAAAATTGTCAAATTTTTCCAAGAAAACTCGGAAGTATTTACCTAAACTGTGAAAATAACATCGGTGTGTTTGAGTTTGTCCTCTGCCAACAATGAGGAGTCATGAGCTCGATGCAGCCCTATTACTAATGTATCTGTGGCTATTCTGCGAGTCGATAAAACATAACTAACATCTATTGTACTAAAGTCCAAAAGGTCAAACATGCATGGCGCGGGACGCAGCGAACTGAATGCTTGCTGCGCTGCTAACTCGATTACAAAGTTTGTGTTGGGACAAAAAAAAAAGATCTGTCTCTACTTTCATCCAAGAGGTTTATGAATTTTTATTGAGTCCAAATTTGCAATCCCACCTGGCTAGCTAACTTGTCGGTCATTTTCTGTTCCGTATCTTTGCAGTCAAGATGAGTCAAATATACGAGACACTCGCGCATGTTCTTATACAATGTGATAGAGTCTGTGTCCTTGACAATCTCGCGCACAACCTGTTAATCTATCAGGCAGCTGCGCCAACACTGCCAGCATTTTGCGCGCGCAATCGGCCGGCGTCACGGTCGAAGCTAATTCCTCAAGCGCAAACTTTACCGCATTTCACCTTCTGTGCAAGCACACTATATTAAGCGGAAAATCTACTCGACTGTCAGTGGCGTACCCAGGATTTCGGCTCGGGGGGGGGGGGGGCGCGACAAAAATTTTTCCTTAATGGAGGTGCGTGGCGTCAGCCACGCACTCCGAAAATTTTTTTGGGATGTTTCCCAAAATTTTTCCGGACCCCTGACCCCAAAATTTCAGAAAAAGGGGGCGTGGCGGCAGCCACGCCCCGAAAAAAATTTTTTTACGAGGCTAATTTGAATTTTTAAAAATTTTTAAAAATTATTTCAATTATTTACAAGTAAAAACAAGTCCTCTGCACATTTTTATCCTCGGTACGCCACTGTCGAGTGTATACAGAAGTACATTCACTAGCAAAGAAAAGCAGCTCAAATTTGGGAGCACGTGCCGTATCTCAGAACAATTCGTTGAAATTTTGAGCTCAGAAGATTTGCAGATGGGTATAAATAGACCACCGTTCTTCGTCGGGGCAACCAGGGCGAACGCACCTTCAAAAAAAAGGAGTATAAAGTATGAGACCGATCTCAAAAATTACACTAACTGGGGCTGCACAGATCTTCACTGGTGAAGTGCCAGAATTGTGCGGTTTAGGTAAGTGCAACATATCGATATAGAGAACGACAAGAGTAGACAAGAAAACACTCAGTGTTTGTGGCAAAACGACCAAGCGATCAAAATTTCGCCCAGAGTTGAAATATGGCAATAACGCGGAAAATGGCGATGGAGCGCGATATCCAAGATGGCGATTTTCAGAAAAAAAAGAGTATAAAAACGATGGAGAGGGGGTGATATGAAAATGTTCTTATGCTCAGGAATAGATTTTTGACCGGGGCATCCGTCCTTCCTAAAAAGATCTGAAACTTATGTGAAGTGACGAAAATATATGCTCCAGACGATCTCAGACCGTCTGGAGACGATCTAATTTCGGAAAAGGTATTACTTCACCTAAGTTTTCAAATCTTTTTACATAATCCCTCCGCAAATAATTTTCTTTACATACAGTTCAATTTTGGTGCCATATGATTCTCTGTACGCTGTAAACAAGCAATTTGTTTATTTTAGCCTTGCTTTCAAATTGCGTGCACTTTTCGCCATACATGATAGAGCATGTCAATCGTGTGATAACCTGTTCGAAAAGCTCGTGTTCGACTAAATGGCGCTTGTTCTTGGTGCTCGGGCCCGACTTGTCAAAAACGATATCTCCTTCGCTTTTTACTCCAAAAACGAAGTCCAGCCTGCTTCCAGACGATCTGTGCCGGACCCGAAACAGGCATAACGAATCCCGCCAATACCGTTTACCATCTTGTCCTTTGGGGATCTTTCAACAATCCCCCTCATCTCCGCAGAAAACCTGCTAAAATTTTTATTCTAATTTTACGAGTGATAGAAACCATTTCTATCGCATAAGTTGAATTATTTCGTTGACCGTAAAACTTCTTTCACTCCAAATGGCGCTGAAGTGCGTAATGATTACGATAATCTTGGTCAGCTTAGAGAATGATCCTTCTTTTCGATGAAAAAAATCGACTCCTCTATATCCGATCAATAGCGTGCAAACTTTATTTTGAACAAGTGGCTAATTACATCTGCACTATGATCCCGCTGTAAAGTGCAGCCAAGAAAAAATCGGAAGCGACATTGCCCTTGAATTCCAATCGATGCAGGCAGCACTGAGCTGCACACACATACACGTATGCGCCGAGAGAACATGTTGAACAAGTGCGGACTGTGCCAGATATCGGTCAACGTCTTCTCAAAAGTCCGCTCTGCTAAATTCATCATTGCTTCTTTATGAGACTTCTTTACCCGGCAGTTGCTGGAGCTGTAGTCACGGTAAGTATGCAATTCAGTTGTTGTAGAATGTGTGACAAGTTCGCTCATTTTCGTTATGTTCTTGATTCGGTTGTTATCTTCGCGTTTAATGTTTGACAAAGTGTGCACATGCTTCTGTCCTTACGCTGCTACTAATTACCTTTCTTGGGCATCTCTACTTGAGAAAATTCCAAGTTTTAGGGTTTTAATATGGAGATTGAAATTGTACTATGAGGTTAGCAACTAAGTAATGCAGCTTTTTCTTTAACATTTCTCTTTTTTGAAATGACGCACAAATTTTTGGTGTTATGGCATTATGTTTTGAGCCGCGATTGCAGTTACATATTTCTGCCAAATTTTGTCATTCTGCCAAAATACGCAGTGAGGGTTGTGCGGAGATATACGGTATTGAGAAGATTACGATAAAACGGCTAAAATTTGGTCGATGGGGTCAGTTGACAGGCTGATCACGATGAAATTCAATCTGCATGGTTATATATTTTTTTGTGAGGTTATCCCAAATTAACCTTGACAGCAGTGAATATGTCATTCCTGTCAGAATTACATCATCATCTTTTTGCAGAGTTTCTGCAAATTCTTGTCTTTCGCCTGCTTAACATTTATGACCACGACTATTTGAGGACGTCAAAATCGATTTGTCTTGAACATCCACTTCTTCTTCAGTCAGCTTGGAAATACGTTTTTTTCTAATCTGTAGTCATATAGTTTGTGCTTGCTAGCTCACGTCGTAATGTATACAAAGCTAGAAACTGAATGCGTTATAATTAAGGAAGAAAGATTATCGAATGAGTTATACTACTTTGGAGAATGAGTGACGTAGTGGTACGATGCGCCGCTATGGCCAGATCGGATTAAGGTTCGATCCCTCTCTCGGCCAACCAGACCTTAGCCTCCGGGAATGAAGGTTATACCGGAGTAATGTGGGAGGATAAATATACTGATGGTAGCGGCTGCTTCTTGCAAGTCATTATAAAATGCTTGTGCCATTACCTCTTCGACATGCCCGTTGAAGGTGAACGCACCGAATCCTTTTACCTCTTATCCTTTTATATCACTTTGTTACCAAACTAATATGCATTCCTTAAAGTCTCCGTTGATAAGATTCCAAAAACGTGATGACTAACAAACCAAACACAAGGTATTTTTATTCACAAAAATCCCTTTTTTTTCAACAACCATTTAATTCTTTTCTCAATCGTTGACGAAACAAAATTTTGCGAACTTTCGCCTCCACGCCCGCACAAATGATGTGGTTTCTGAACATTAGCTCTGCCAACTTTTTGGCCGCTGTCAAAATCAGTGAATGCGCTAAAGGACAGAGATCCTTGAGCTTGAGAATAGGGAAATGCTGAGCTCTTTGTAAAAATCAAAAAATCGTTGAAAAGCACAGAATCTTATCATGCGTGATATCAAATACCAAATAACCTCATTCTTTCAAAAATTATTCCAGTATTACTTTCTACAACGACACTATTTCTTCAGTCATAATCCTTGGAAATGGTTTAGAGAAACAGAAGCTGAGACTGTGAAGAGGTCGTTGACCAAAAAAGTAAGCAACAACCGGTGTGTAAAAACATCTTTAACAGATTTGCAATAGCGCGTGCACATCCATGAGGAGGTATGCAGCCCTTCGACAAGTTCATGCTTCCACATACAAGACACAGCATATAGCAGGCTTGGCAAGTAAGTGTTTCATTATCGTCGACGCAGATAACTACGCGCCCTTCAAATTACAATTCACCTCTAAAGTTACGTTGAGGGAAAATTTGATGGGTGCAAGCTTTGAATTTCGAAGCGAAAAAATTGCTTAGAAATCGCAGACTGCGTCGCGAATGCGAGCTGTCCCCTCCTAGGTTATAAAGCCCCGCCTTCGAGCAGCCAATCTGGTTGAAGTAAAGAGTGTATTTGCAGAGTATCTCAAAAGTAAGTATACACTTTTTTGATCTATATATTAATAAAACTCAAAATTGTAAGTTTGAACTCTATATGCGTTTAAAAACGCGCCGCTAATACGATTCAGCTGAAACTTTGCACACTTACGTTTTCGACCCCTGCGCTGATGATAGGCTAATTTTTTGCGAGGATTTGTGGGTCCTTCTTCGATTTATTGATTTGTTTACGTTTTTCTGAGAGGAAGAAGGCCTATCGTGCTTAACCAAGCATTTTCCCATAGTCATCTAAAGGAGGGCGGTGTAGCTCATTTCCACCCCAGGACCACGAGGATGCGGTGAATCGAAGTGGATGCCGCAAGGTAAGTCCTCCAAACATGGAAAAGGAGGGAGGAGGGGTTTCGCAATGCGGTGATCTTGCAAGCAACCGTAGCATCTTCTTCGTCCCCTGTGAACAATAGACCGGGCTAGATCGGGGAAGCCAACAAGTTGTTAATAATTCTCTTCCCATAAGCTTTTGCTGAGCTCCAAGTACTAATCAGTAGAGCGGGACTTTCAGCTTACAGTGCCAGTGTGGAACAGCTACTTTTCAGAAAAAAGTTCCAGTAATCTAAGTTGTGTACCAAGGTTTTCACGCGCGCTGATTTCACTGCTCAACTTCTCACGAGTTTGTACTGCTTTTTGAAAGGTGTATCCTTGAATCATTTGTAACTTAATATGTGAGTGCGCACACTATGAACGGCAACCGATGGCAACGTTACTAGTAACTTCTCACTGAAACCTTTTCTAGCGTAACAAATTGTAGATGTTTCTGCTGACTAATGCATAACCACCAAATTGAAAGAGACAAGGGAACAAGAAGAAATTACTGGAATTGAGCAGGTCCTAATCTTGCAAGTTCGTCAAGTAAGGCCATTATGTGCATTACACGTATTAAGTTACAAATGACTCGAGAATAATTACAATTAAGGAGCACTGTAAAAATGACTATTGCGATCTACTCGTATGATTTATGAATAAAGTTTTGCGGTAAGGTGCAAAGCCCATATCTAGTGTCAGCGGCTCTGATTAACTTAGTGCAAGAATTTCAGGTTGTTTGGTCTGCTGTGCTTCCTGAGGCCAGCTGGGGCTTCAATAGCCCAAAACAATTCTTGAACTTTTTATTAGGTTGGCACATAAGTTTTGCAACTTTTCCCGTAACTTTTTTCCTATTTTATGTAGCAATCTCATTTTGTGGCATCATGTAGATCGTGATGTAAGCTGCGAGTCTGCGCAAACCGTTTGATTTTTGATAACGTAGTTCAAAAAATCTGAGCATTTTTTGAAAACTGCTGAAAATCGAGGTTCCACGATTTTTTGGCAAACATAAAGCCCTACGAATCCTGATTCAAACATATGAAAAAGCAATTATAGGCAGCATGTAGCTGGAAGTTGGCACATTGGAATCAGTGAAAAAGAAATTAAATTTGAACACAAATTAAGGTGGGGCGCCTTTGGGAATTTGAACAAGTCAAATGCGTCAAGTTTTGAAGGCAATTTGTCAATAACTAAGCTGCGAAAAGTCAGAATTCGCTATAACTTTGCACTATAGGGTAATCCTATGCGGTAAACACGAATATCATATTCATTTGTCGCTAAAATGAAATTCGCCTTTTGATCTCACGAACGAGGCCTTTTCAAGAAATGGATCTCATTTTTGTGATCAGCATGTCAAATAAGCCCCATAGGCCAAGTTTCAGCAAAATCTTATGCATTCTAAAATTTTTCCCATAGTACCGTAAACCTACCGTAATCCTCACATAAGATGGTAAAATTCAGCAAAAATGTGTGCATTAGAAGCTTACATCATATTCCTTATATTGCCAAAAAATGAATGCGCTATGTTCAAATAGACAAGACTTATATAAAAAGTTGCATTACGTATGTGCCAGCCTAATACCATAATCCTAATATAAAAAGCGATGAATGTCTCCTCATACTACACATCTAAGTTTAACGATATGTATACTTACTTTTAAGACACCCTTTATACTGTATACAGTGACCGCCAAAAAGTTGCGGAAAAGCCGCCTTCCTTCTTTCATCGCTCATTTTCGGATGGAAAATGAAGATAAAAAAGATTGGATTGCATATTGTGATAGAGCTCACCAAGAGCTACAACCCACACATTGCCCTTTCTGGAAAACATGTACCATAAAAGTTTTAAGAAACTTTTTCTAAAAAAAGGCCGAAAATGGCCGCGTCACAATGTCGCGGACAATAATTCTTCGAACGCGAAAATTTTCTGTTAGGTTTTTTCTTGGAGCAAAAACAGAAGTTATCCGGACAGGTAAGCCTACTATATCGTAGAGCTCATCGAGGGCAATAATCGGGTAATGGTTTCTTCCAAAAAAACCCAAGCTTGAATTTTGTTTTGCTTTTTTTCAAAAAATAATTTTTAATTCCCTTCTTCGAGCCTTGTTTTGCTTTTTTTCAAAAAATAATTTTTAATTCCCTTCTTCGAGCCTTGTTTTGCTTTTTTTCAAAAAATAATTTTTAATTCCCTTCTTCGAGCCAAATTTCTTCATATGGAAATCTATTCAAGGCATTCCAACAAGGCTGTTCGGATAAAGTGGATGCTCTTTGCCATCCTCTATGCATCGGACGGGTGCTGGTGAGTCTCTTTGCTGGAAATGGCTTTTGACAGTGCGTGCACATGACTCCATCTGCACCTCACCGCTGACTTGCAGCGATTTGCAGACTTGTAGCTCGGCCGGCAGTAAATCTGTGAGCCCACAAGTGGGCTCGTTCGAAAGAGCGTGACTTTCTGGACATGATGGTATGCAAAAGAGTTGGGTATGAGAAACAGCAGAGATTTGGCGGATGGGGTGACAAAGCGCAGCTTCAGTGGTAGGTAAGGATTTTTCAGTCAAAGTTGAGCAAAGCTTCTTCCGCCACCAGTTTCATCCTGGAAGTTCAAAACCGTCATTTTTCTTATAATAGATCCAATTCGGAGCTCTAGAACCGTTCTAGTGTTGATAAGAGCCTTCACTCCATTCACCTCTAAGGCTGCGCTTTGTCACCCCATCCGCCAAATCTCTGCTGTTCTCATACCCAACTCTTTTGCATACCATCGTGTCAAGGAAGTCACGCTCTTTCGAATGAGCCTACTTGCACGCTCGTGGAATAACTGCCGGCTGAGATACAAGCCTGCAAAGCGGTGCAAGTCAGCGGTGAGGTGCAGGTGGGGTCATGTGCACGCACTGTCAAAAGCCATTTTCAGCGAAGAAACTCACCAGCACCCGTCCGATGCATAGAGGATGGCAAAGAGCATCCACTTTATCCGAACAGCCTTGTTGGAATGCCTTGAATAGATTTCCATATGAAGAAATTTGGCTCGAAGAAGGGAATTAAAAATTATTTTTTGAAAAAAAGCAAAACAAGGCTCGAAGAAGGGAATTAAAAATTATTTTTTGAAAAAAAGCAAAACAAAATTCAAGCTTGGGTTTTTTTTTGGAAGGAACCATTACCCGATTATTGCCTTCGATGAGCTCTACGATATAGTATGCTTACCTGTCCGGATAACTTCTGTTTTTGCTCCAAGAAAAAACCTAACAGAAAAGCGTTCGAAGAATTATTGTCCGCGACATTGCGACGCGGCCATTTTCGGACTTTTTTTAGAAAAATATTTTTAAAACTTTTATGATACATGTTTTCCAGAAAGCGCAATGTGTGGGTTGTAGCTTTTGGTGAGATCTATCACCATAAGCATCCAATCTTTTTTCATCTTCATTTTCCATCCGAAAATGAGCGATGAAAAAAAGAAGGCGGCTTGTCCGCAACTTCTTGGCGGCCAGTGTATATGTACCAGCCAAGTTCAAGACTACTTTAGGTCTGTTGCAGGCTCGTTGTCATCAGAGACATGCTGATAGCGGACACAGATTGCACGTACTCGTCAGCTGCTTTGATGGAGCCACTTGGTAGAGAGCTATATTAGCTAAGTATTCATGGTATTGAACGTATTTAGTACTTAGTGAGAATAACAAAACCACCAGTAAATGGAAGGTGGATAAGCGAAAACTGCCTAAAGCATATGCAAAAGTGATGGTCGCTTTTGCATTTGCTATGGAGGTGGGTAAGTCAATGCCAGTCTGTTGAAAACTTCTTTCACTTTGAGGGACTAAAACTTGACTCCAAGAATGAACAAGAGGTTCTGTTGATTGGACTAGGCGGAGGAGTGGTACAGAATTTTCTCTCCACTCTCGAAAAGGCTAAGGTGAGCTAATTCAGTTTCAATAGTTAACAATGAAGAATCACAAGTGTTGTAAGGCAGCAGCTGGGTCTGCTGAAATAGGGCACTGCGGAAACGTAAAGGAAGTAGAGCAAGAAATTGATAACATTGATCAGCAACAACGGATACCAAACAATAAATACAACGGTCGAGATATCCTATCTGTAGGCCCCCGATCCAAAGTACATGAAAGATTAAAAAAATTCCGATAATCATTGACCTCGTGTTTTTCGTCTATTGTCCTTGACGGTGTGTTCATATATTCAGCGTGTTACTCAAATTTTGCCATTCCATACGTATTGACTTCGCTAAATAGGGTCCTACTGAACGTCTTTGGAGGGATGCCGAATTTGACTGTCATGTGGATAGCCTCTTTTCAACCCTGTCGAACTTTATCTGACAGCAGCACGATTTTGTGCTTGTTGAAAAGAAATTCTTGACGTAGGTTAACATGAAAAAGAAAGAAGATGGTGTGTGAATCGCAAAAAACTATACCATGCTCCAACCTGCACCTCATGCTTTATGAAGTGAAACAATCCTATATTGTCCGACGTACGATTCCATGTTCAACGCTCATAATCAATCACATCAAAGTTCTTTTAATGTTTGGAGATATGAACCTTACAAATGCAGTTGAAAATGACAACCATTGAACTCGATCCTATGGTTCGAGATGTAGCTAAGAAATGGTTTGGACTCGAAGAAAACGACATGCATCAAGTAATTGTCGCTAATGGAGCACAGTTTGTCAAAAGAGAAGCCGAAAAAGGTACGGCAGATTGTCAACAAGATCTCGCTTACAGAGTCGTTTTCAGGCAAGAAGTACAGAGCTATTTTACTCGACGCTTGCAATTCTACCTGCCCAGTTGAGGTATTTCTGCAGGACGAGGTGGTAAAAAACATCGCACGCACGCTCAATGAGGATGGTTAGCTTGAGAAATTTTTGTCTCTCATTCAAAATGCTTTTCCAGGTGTTCTCGCCATTAACGTTCTCACTGAACCTGTCAAAAATACCGCAAAGATAAACGACATCCTAAACTTATACAAGAAATACTTTGCTTCTTGTTTCTATCACTATCTCGATTCGCAACAAGTAAGCACGGGTCATTCCTTTTCAGTGCAGCAATATATGTCTCACAGGTTTTACTTTGTTCCCATCGCCCTGGCTGGACTCTTAATGAGCAGAAAGAGGTTTTTAGAAGGAACTTGAGAGAGATTGACAAAAAGTTTGATTTTCGTCTTACTTAAACAAGCGCCCTTTTTCCAAATCACTGCCATCTTCCTCGTGATTCGAGCAAACCACCGTGCACAATCTCTGTTACGTAGAAAAAGCGACGTAATGTACAGCTCGAAAAACAATCCTATGTATGAAGTTCAATGTCTGTATTTGTGTCTGCATGTAGTATGTCTGTGTGCATGTTGTTTATATGTATGTAAATAAAAGAATCAAGTGAATCGATCGACCCTTGTGCGCATATACTTCAGAGCTCATAGGCTATTCTTTGTTATAGAACGACGCCGATTTACTGGTTTTCAAAAGATTTTGAGCTGTAGAATGGGAGTTGGTAGTTTGCGCGAGCGTGCTGGTTACAAAGATACTATTGTCGAAATCATAAATCTCCCTTATCAATGGTAACCAAAAAATCGACATCGATTTCTGCAAATATTGAGCCAGGGAGATGAGAGTTGTTGCAGGTGAGCTTGTTGAACAAACACATATTCTTTAGAATTAACAACAACTTCTTATCGATTTTATTTATTTTCCGGGGACATTGAGCTGGAGCGTTAGGAGTTGTTACAAGGAGTAAGTGAGCTTGCTGAGTACGACACAGTGTGGGGAGGCATTGCATGCCATGCATCAAAAATAGAAAGAGATTGGCACAGTTTTCATGACAAAAAGGCAAAAGAATAATGCAAGTTGAACATCTGCATTATTCTTTTCATCAAAATTCTCTCACCCATCAGCTGATGCGACAAGCACGATAAGGCGCGGTTGGACTAGAAAGATAAGTTCTGATTCCAAAGAGTGCATAGAATTACAGTGCTCCTCTAAAAAAACGGAAAAACTTCATATCCAGCTGCAATCAGCTGTTTATCGACTCCGTATATCCGCAACCCACCGAAATTGTGCAGTTTTGGTGGAGGACTATATGTCGCTTTGAAAGAGTCCCGCGCGGATTGCCTGCAGGAACGCATGTTCGCGCATGTACAAGGGTGCGCATTTGTCGCAGATGATCCTGGAGATCACCCTTTTTCGGCGACATATAGTCCCCTACCCGTGCAGTTCTAAGCACTTGTCGTCCGTGGCATTACGTCAGCGCACATGTTCTCTAAATTGACCACGAGCAACTTCCGGGATTTTTGCCTGATTCTTCACTTTGAACACTATTTTCGCGGTTCAACTTGCGACAACTTTAACGTACGGGCTGCTCGGTAAGACCGCGGTACTTGACCGGACGGTCTTCTTACAGTTGAACCTGCCTTTTGAAGCATGGAAGAGTGGGCGTTTGCAAGTTCAACGTACGATGTTCTTCTGATGGATTCAATTCAGTTTAGAACTGAGGATTTACTGCAGGCCACAGTGACATTTGCGGACTTCACACAGGTGACACTCGGGTGTGATGTCGTTCCATGTTCTGCTCATTTCATACAGCTGAATCTTAATAGACGTCAAATCAGCTGTTGTGATCTTGACCCGCTCTCAATTGTTCAGTGCATCCATGCACATTTTTTCGGGCATTTTTCCATGCACTCGCGTATGTCGGGTTAACTCGAGAGCGTTCCAGTAATCCCCGAAGTCGTTGTGTTGATGAAACAAACAATTCTTATAGATGCAGCCGCTCGGTACTTGAACGGAAACGAGTAATTAGAGTAGAGAACTAAAACGGTAGAGAACAATGGGGGCCCCACTCTCTCGGACAGCTGGTACGAGGCTATGATGTGTAAGGGTGCATTGTTTGTTGCGACTGTCCGGGACATCTTTTCCAGTGAAATTTTCTACGCAAATGAAGCGCCATCATGCACAGCAAAGGAGGCAGAGAAATGAGGGGAAGAAGATCGGCTCTCCAGTGCCCATCGCGTCTCGGTAGCGGCGGACTCCTTTGAAGGCGCAGCTCCCGTCAGACATGTTTGAGATCTTCCCATTATGGAACACTGAGAGCAATGGCTTTGACAATATTACTTCTTCCGCCACCCTGTCTTACAGTAGTCAGGCGTCAGCTCAATTGGGTGTTACGGACGTCACACATTTGACGCCTAAGCCGGCGCATTTTTGTCTGTACGATCAACGCTCGATGATGGATAGATAGATTGTTCGACTCTCTATGAACCTCGGCATGGCGTAGATATTGTAGTTGTTTATATAAGCCGCACTCGAGATTGGTAACAATACAGGGTGTCCCAAAAGTATGAATCGAACGTTTGATCGTTAATATCTCTCTTCCCAAGAAGTCTTTTGCCTTGCTTCAAGTACCATTTTGTAGAGCTAGCTTCAACTTAGATTTGCATTATAGAACGAATCACTCATTCCTCTTCATTACTGTAGGATTACGGTAGAAACTTCAAAGAGGGTTTTAAGCAATGAAAGGCCATATTTTGCCTTAGAAAGGAAATAAAACAGCCTGAAAGTTTTCACACTAGGCTAATTAGAGTTGCTGATTATAACTGTAAAGTTCCCAACTTATTATGATGCTTCATTGAGGAGTCATGCCAGGTAAGAGGTAGCGGCCATTTTTTCAATGTTCCTAAAAAGTGCGATTACACCGTTTAGAAAGCTTTGTAATCTTGTGAATAGTTGAGTATTGAACTCAGCATCCATAAAAACCCTATTACACAAGTTTTTACAATTTTTTGAAGAATTTTGGAACTGCAGCTTTTTCCACATTGACACCATATGTTTCAAGTTTCTACCGTAATCCTACAGTAATGAAGAGAGATGGGTGATTCGTTTTTTAATGCAAATCTAAGTTGAAGCCAGCTCTACAAAATGGTACTTGAAGCAAGGCAAAAGACTTCTTGCGAAGAGAGATATTAACGATCAAACGTTCGTTACATACTTTTGGGACACCCTGTATTTATTGGGTGGCTGACGTTTCGGCAGATCGCCTTCTTCAGAGCCTGGAATGGACAAAACGATCTGCAAACTATCCGATCAAACGTCTCTGCCAGCTCCACAAGCAAAGTTCTAAGACTCTGCCTGTTCACTGACTAGACTGCCAAACCAACGCTTACCTTTTTGAAAATGCCGATAGCATACAAGTGCCTGAGCGAGCGCTAATAAACGACCATGTATGTCACGCTATTTATATGCCTACAGTGACTCAAAGATGACCCAGGTAAGGTGCGAGTTCACGAGTGATAGAGAGGCACTCCTCCTTGCGATACGTTTGTGGACTTTTTGCGTGAATCCAAAAGGCTTCCAAACATTTGCTGGCTGATGTTTGGGATTCATGCGCTAAGATCTTCACTGAAACTTCAAAGTTTTCTCCAGCGTGCTTCACCAGTCTGTGAGTGCCTAGAGGTGTGGTCGTGCGTGATCTATCCCTGCCGTCTAAGTGCTCTCTAATGCGGACGCATAGAGGGCGCGCCGTTTCACCGATGTACATGTCGCCGCAGCCCGCGCAGGTGATAAGGTAGATGACCCCTGACGTCATGCAATCCCCGCCCCTGCCCGCAGGGCAGATAATGCAATTAGGCGTTGTGCAGGTGCGATCGTAGATGCGATTGCGGACCAAAATACCTTTTAGGTTATTTGGGGGTATCTCCACCATCGCAACAGAGTTTGATGAGTGAGATGGATAGATAGATTGATATGAAATGTCTGTTCGATAGCATTTTCAATTAGCAAGGTTCAATTAACTCGATTTGAGTTTTGATTGAGAGTTCAACAAAGTCCACGTTTTCAGCTTCTGAAGTCTCACCTGAAATGTACGTGACTGTTCACTTTTTTCGCGTAGGAGGCGGTTATCTGTACATGACAGTCTTCAAGTTGCTTTTTACTTCCTTTCGAGCCCGAAAGTCTACCATACTCCCGTCTAAAGGTCTATTGAGTCCTCAGTCACATGACAAAAAGACTGCCCGTATTTCTCACAACGTTTACCTTCACGATTTGCTTAGAAGCACAGGTACAGTAAGTAGTGCTTGTCTGTAAGGGGTATCAAACTAAGATTTCGCTCACTTTGAGACAGAAAACCGTTCGTTTTCATGGAAAATCCTCAAGTCCTCCAGAAACACTTTGTTTTTTTTTCATGGAAACAACAAATCAAGGAAAATGTAGGAAAAATATACAAAAAGAATGCTCCTTGAGGCAGCCATGAAGGACCAAAGACAAGTTCCAAACATGTAAGGCTGCGAAAAGATAAAGGAAAAAAAACGAGGTTCAGGTGTCCCCTTTCACAAGTTCTCATTGGTTCTGAACGATTGCTCTTGAATGGATAGGTTGCTGTGTTCTCACTTACCAACTGACAGTCACGTTCCCAAGTCCTTTCGATTAAACTCCCCTTCAGAAAAAAAAGAACAAGGAGGTAACGACACTAAGTGAGCTTTCAAATTTAAGCTCCTTCAATCAATTTTTATATTATAATATGCTTGTAGATTGATCTGTATGTAATCTCTGCACCTTTCAAGCGACTTTCTTCGAAGGTGGAGTTCGTGCCTGGAAGTAAAACACAAACACGAGTTCGTAGAGACTTGACAGGCTATCAGGACTTTTGAATGCTGCGGAGATGTCAAGTAGAGCGGAGCGAACTTTTGCAAACAGCACTGATTTGTGTAGAAGCTTAGCCTTAAACCACGACGACCCCGGCTGAGCTACAGCTAATGCATGTCAAGCCATTAGAAAAGAATACACGTTCGTCACATAAAAAATGACAAGTCCGGGTTATAACGTTTTCAAGTGACTGCCAAGAATTTGATTGTATCATGTGTAAATCGTTATGCAAATGATCGTGAACAGCAAGTCCTTTTAAAATGTAAGCATTGTGCATTTCAAGCAGTTCGTAACTTTTAGAATCAGAAGTGCTGTGAGGTACATAGGCGTCAGCACTCGTTCTCATAAGACGAACTTGCAAACTTTGTACTAAGTTAGTACTAACAAGCATCCAAATTCAAAGCGCCACCACTTCGATCATTCAACTGTTCTAACAAAATATTTTCGCGCGGTGAAGCCACCCGATAAAGTAGGCGTCAAATGTGTGACGTCCGTAACACCCAATTGAGCTGACGCCTGTATTACTGTAAGACAGGATGGCTGAAGAAGTAATATTGTATGGCTTTGTCAACCGCCCAAACATTGTACATTTTTTGCTCAGTGCGCCAATGAATAGGTATACTTCGGACATTGAATGCAGTTTTGAAGGTATGTTGAACGGGAGATCCCGTACACCCTGAATTCAACGTGAATTACAAATAACACCACGTAATAAGCCCGATCCACAACATAGCGAATGGACGCTTCAGGCAAACCAAGGGCGGTATTCATTAGTCTCCCGTTTTGAAAGCGGGCGATTCAATAGAAAATGATCGCCCGGCCGGGTTGGGCGCCAGACCCGGGATGTATGGTTTCTATTGAAAACGATCGCCGGCCTTCAAAACGGGAGATTGATGCATACCGCACCAGGCTACCCGACATTCGATAGACTTGACATGTAGTGAAACAAAGAACTTGGACAAATCCTTTACAAGTTTATTCTTTGTCAGTATGATGTCAATATCTCTGAGCCCGATTTAAGCATCTTGATCTCCCTGATTTTGATTGCTGTTATCTGTTCCCGCACCCGCACGACGGCGCCTTCTTCCTGTTCTTCTTGAGCGTCTCGACCTATGCGGAACTTATCAGTCTGTCACGACGTACGCTTCTTATACTGAGTACCTCCTGGATCTACGAGATCTGCGACTTCCTCTTCTTCGTCTTCGCGATCGGCTTCTTCTTCTAGAGTAAGATCTTGATCTTCTAGATCTTGAACGACGACGAGATCTTGAGCGACGCGATCGACGACGTCTCCTGGATCGAGAGCGCGACATGCTCGGTGATGACGAGCTGCGCCTCAAACGTCGGGATCGTCTGCGTGATCCTGAACATCGTTACTTTTTCTCTACATGACAAGCTTCACGGCTTGTCACTCACGGGAGAGGGATCTCCTTGAGCTTCTTCTTCTCGATCTGGATCGTCGAGGTTTCAGAGACATGCTTCGGCTGCGACTTCTTCGTCTTCTACTCCTGCTTCTACCTCTTCGCCACGAACAAGGCATGGTTAGTAAGTAAATGAATCTAACTTCCAATCTGTTCTGCTTTTATAGGCTTGTTCATCTTATCTTTGCATAAACATCACCACTGAATTGTCACTCATTCCGGAGATAGCTTGCAAGCGGTCAATCGCTTGATCAAAATATCAAATCCTTTGGCGAATATAGCAGACTATCTAACTAAAGTCTACAAACCTTTGAAGAACGTATCACGCAAATATCTAAGAATGTACAAGTATCGTGAACCATTTGTAACTAAATATGTGACCCTGCACACTACGCGCAGCAAATGACGACACCCTTACTAGTAACTCTTCGGTGAAACACTTTCTAGCGTAGAAATGTAGAAATTTGTAACCATTAACTGGTACATATCCAATAGAGCCTAAAGGGAAATGAAAACAATGAGAAACCACTGGGAATGAGCAGCTTTTGATTTTACAAGTCGACAAATATGATGTGCATTACGCATATTGAGTTACAAATGACTTGACATTGTATTGGCAAGAATTAAGCGAACACGATAATGCCTTCTTATATTCTCTAAAAACGAAGAAGTGATTAGAAGTTGAGTGAAGAAGTGATTGAGGAAGCCCCTTGAAGCATCCGCTACGTAATCGCAAACATTCGCGAAGTTGTTGATGATTGTTGCGTTCTGCGTTTGTTGATAGAACAGCTAGTCGAGGAGCTGAGCACTTCGTGTCGCTTCCGCCGCCGTTCAACCTTTGCCAAGCAAAAATGTGCCAAGATTTGATATCCTATCAAATTTGACTAATTGGCTTTTTTTCAGCGTCAAGTAGTAATTTCCTCTTGCGATCTACGAATTTTTTCCTCTGGGTGCTAGTATCAAGCAAATTGGTAGCTTTCCACACCATACAAATCACCTTTTTTGCACAATGAGAAATCTGTACGATCTCCAGTCAAAAACAATCATTGAGTATTTACTGTGCGGTATCATCTTATTTTCTTCAATTTTTGTAGTGATGTAAGATTCTGGTTAAAATCTAAAAGTGCAAATTTTCGTCCTAAAAGTGGGAAGAATTACAGCAGAAAGATTTTCCCTGTTTTTTTAAAATCTATCTGTACCGCAAAATAATTGGAGCTTTTTGAAAATAAACACCTTATTAATAACCTCTGGAAATATTCCCTCATATTCAAGTGCTCGGGAAGCACTGCATTCGAAGAATGTTTTCGAGAATCTTTTCGGGAAGTTCCTAATTGTATTCCTGTCGACGTCATTTTTCTCGAGAAGTTCCTATTTTTCACCTTCATTCACCTCAGTACTAATGCAAGCTCTCGGGAAGTTTGGCAAATCAGCTTGCCCTCGGGAAGTTCCGGTGAATTATCTGAGTTTCTATATTCTTCCCGTTGTTCCCCTTCTACACTTGCCTAAGCGATTGCATCTTTTTTGAATTTGAACCGGCAAGCCGATGTAGGACGCTTTCCTCTATTTCTTATCTTTTGCTAATGTCTTTATATTGATTCATAACCTGATAGAAACTCGCTGCCCAACGCTCTATTCCACAGAACTTTCAAAAGTAGTGCAATCACACAGAGTGACTGCTGAGCTGAGGACAACTGTAAAATTATTGGTGACGTTCAAGCGTCTTGAGCACTGAAAGTCCAAAATTGAAAGTAAAGAGGGCAATGAAATGAAAACTTTCAACTCGAAAACACTCCTGTTTCTTCTTTTGATGGAAAAACATTAGGTCAAGTTTTTCTACACAAATTCAAATAGTCAACATTTGAATTGCTTCTTGTAACACTCGCATGACAAATTCTAGAAACTCTTGGCTCTCAACACTTTTCTCTCCTACTAACTCAGTGACCAAGAACAATGATCATACACCACGAGGTGGTTGGGGTGGGCTAAGCAAATATTTTAGAGTGGGTTCCCGATTCGTTGTCGGGAAGTTGGAGTTTCTCTACGATTTCTGATCAAGCGCGCAAGCCGACTGTCATTGTTCCAGTGTGAGCAACCATGTACTGTCTATTACCGTTACTTCTCCTTATCGCCACTGCCTCAGCTGCAATTCGTTGCTGGTCCGGGCAAGAAACCGTTCCAGGTGTGGGAATCCCTTACACAACAGGTGAGGGAATTTTTCTTCTCAGGAACCGTAAAATTGCATTCAAATTTTCAGTAAACTGCCCTACTGCCGATTTTTGCTTCCATAATTACGTGAAAAGGCATATCAATGGAGATGATAGCTATACGATTACGAAAAGCTGTGGGGAACCTGGAAAATGCTTCGTAAGTTATTTCCTTCAATTTCCAAAAGTTCCAAAAACTTCTGAGCATTCTGCCGTTGAAACAGCGCCAGGGTACCTATTCAACTAATGTTTGCTACTTCGTCATTATTGACAGAGCGATTATTTGTATAGCGCGCATTTAATCCTTTCCGTAACTTGAGCTGCGGAATACGTAATCGCACAACTATAATTAGCCACTATCTATAAAAGAGCGGAGAAATGGCGGCGCATTGGCATTTTTGAAATCGGAGTATGGTAGCTTGATACTCGCTAAACAAGCTGCATTAGATTTAAGCTATTAGGCTGTCCCGAAAGTTTTGTCGTTTTTTTTTTCAAACCACTGCAAAACCACGCACAATAAAGAACTGAAAGAGCTTCAACATGTACTCGACGCAGCTTTTCCTTCCCTTCCTTATGGATACATTTTCTTACCATAACCTTGTACACTTTTTTTGATAATTGGCAAAATTCTCCACCTGTCAATTTTACCTGCTCAAAGTTAGGCTAATTTTTGAAAATTTCATTACAAAATTTCGAAAAGGATTAAGTATGTGTCGAATAGAGCAACTCTCGGACTACATGATGGTATTTTTAGATTCTCCTAATCTGCTGATTTTATCTTCAAAAAATTAATTCCCCGGAGGTCTCGATTTTTGACAAAGTCATAAAACACGCAACTGCATAAAACGCACGAAAGCTTTTGAAGTTTCTGCGTAATAAAACATAATTCTTACTAAACATCATTTATGCAACATAACAACTTTGATTCGCTTCGAAAAAGCAGCTCTTTGGAATTTTTGGTACTTTTACGTGTTAAACTTAATCAAAAAGCCGCGGTTTTTATTGAACAATTAATTATAACGGACTTAGTAAACGTGGCTTATGTAGTCTAAAATGAATACAATGTAGCCAAAGGTTTGGTCTACATAACAGTTACTAGTGCTCTTTAAAAACATTAGAATAAAAAATTCTAAAATTCGGGAAAGGTTTGGCGTTACTGCTGAGCTGCTCAAAAAGCCATGGCGATAACATTGCAAAGACAGGGTAGATCAGAGAGCAAGTATAACTGTAAGAAAGTAGATAAAAATATGAATCAAATGGTATCAAGATCGTCCATGGATTGGTGCTCTGTGAGTTTTAGTGAGCGATGAAAGAAACCGACAAAACTTTCGGGACAACCTAATATTTCAGGCTATTTTGGCATTTTCTGACCTTTCACACAAAAATCTACTCTAAAGCCTCAAAGAGTGCCAAGGGTGCGAATTCAAACTAGCTTAGAGATTAGAGAAGTAATTAAATGAAAATTTTCAATTCCAAGCATTTCTTAGCGAAATGGCATTGAGATGATGAATCTCCAATGTGCAGACAACTCTATTTGTTTTCGGTCTTTTATCCTAGCAAAAAATTGCGATCATCACGCCATCGTGGTCTAAGAAAACATCTTGTGATGTACCTCAAGTGGATCGCGCATTGAACAAACTTTGTCGACATTGCGATCCTAGCATTTTATCAGAAAAATTCAGCAGGGAGGGGAAAGTTGATGAAAAAACAGAGAAAACATGTAGTTTTGATAATGGAGAATTTCATGGAAGCAAAAGTTTTTTCTAGCAAATCGTCTTTGTAAGTCCAAATAAACAATGTAAATTTTTTGCTTAGCGTACCGAACTACAATGAAGAGGCAGTGTCCGCAAGAATCCAAATTCCTGAATACCTTATTCGAACACCGTTCGGGAGTCCCTACTTGGACACGTGCCCAAAAGGCAGCTCGTATGGTCCATTCGCATTTGTAAACTTCAACTACAAACTCCTTAAACCGTATGCACTACCATACCTGAAGGCGATGATTGGCGATTGGAAAGGTACGATCTGGGCTAGGAGTTAGACTCAAATTTTTTGGTCATAACGCTTTGGTAATGTCTTAGCGTCCTTAACAGCTACATAAGAAAGCAACAATGGCTAGACTGGCGGGAGGTGGTGTAGGGAAAGGGAAGGAACAGTTGAATTGTTTGTAAAAAATCAAATGATTTTTGTTATTCCCTGGAAATTCAAATCAGCGTTGTAAAAAGGATTTTTCGGGGCGAATCACAGGTGCGATAGTGTGAGACTTTTCTCACCCCCTCTTCACCCCTGAGCGGGGACCAAGGTGACCCCCTTCACCAAAAGCCGAGAAAAAAATCAACAGTGAGGTAAGGTTAAGCAAAGGAGATATTTGTACGAATTGTCAGTGTAGGAAAGGAGGAGTCTATTGAAAAAAGTGCTTGGTGACGGGTGTGAGTAGTGATTTCTGGAGATTTTCGGGTTTTTGACATAAAAAAATTCATAATTTTCGTAGATGAACATCTTTTACGGCTAGATGGTCACCGTTAGAACCGCCTCGTTCTCCGCTCTCAGAAAATATACAGCATGTTTGAGATCCATTCGAAAAAGTGCGTGATGAAAGATGTGCCTAGTGATTTCTGGGAATTTTCGAGTTTTCAGAATAAAAAAATCCGTGACTACTGCAGATGAACAGCTGGTGCAAGGAAATAGTAACCATCCGAACCGCCTCGTCCTCCGCTTTCAAAAAATATATGGCATGTCTGAGATCCGTTCAAAAAAGTGCCTGGGTGAAGGGTGTGCTTAGTGATTTTTAAAAATACTCGATTTTTTTATCATAAAAAAATTCATAACTTTTTTAGATGAACATTTTGTACACCGAGATAGTCACCATTGGAACCGTCTTGTCCTCCGCTTCCAGAAAATATATACTTTGCCTGGGGTCCGTTAAAAAAAGTGCCGGGTGAAAGGTGGGCGAGACTTTTATAATGGGAGTGCTCAAGTAGACGCCTTTTTACAATGGTAAAAAAGCCTGTACTTGAGCACCCCCATTATAAAAGTCTCACCCACCCTTCACCTGGCACTTTTTCTAATGGACCCCGGGCAAAGTATATATTTTCTGAAGCGGAGGACGAGACGGTTCCAGCGGTGACCATTACGGCGTACAAGATGTTCATCTAAAAAAGTTATGAATTTTTTTATGATAAAAAATCGAGTATCTTCGAAAATCACCAAGCACACCCCTCACCCAGGCACTTTTTTTGACGGACATAGGCAATGTATATATTTTCTGGAAGCAGAAAACGAGGCAGTTTCGATGGTAGCCATACCGGCGTAAATTAAGTTCATCTTCAGAAGTTACGGATTTTTCTATCCTAAAAACTCGAAAATATCCAGAAATCACTACCCACACTCTTCACCAGGCACTTTTTCGACAGACTCCAGGCAAACTATATATTCTCTAAAAGCGGAAGACAAGATGATTTCAAAAATATTTACCTTGCTGACGTTGCTGTTCATCTACAAAAGTTACGAATTTCTTCTTTGAAAAAAATTCGTAAATGCTTAAAAATTGTCTAACTCTTTCCGAAACAAATGTTCGCATGCACATCAACAATGGTAATTCCAAAACCAGGCAGGGCGATGTAAAAAAGGGAAAAGGAAATGTAAAAAAAAACAAGGTGCTGGTCAGAAATATAATTGTATGCTAATCCAGCAGCGTGTCACTTCACAGTTCAGAAAAAAGACGAACAGTGATGGTAAGGAATTGGAAATTATGAACTTTGACTGGGAAAAATGACGGCTTCACCCCCGCCCCGTCGACATTTTACGATTTCTTTGCCAAGTAAAACACCCTTCACCCTGGAGGGGTTGCGACCACTGTGACCCGCTTCACCCTGGAGGAGTCATTCTCACCTTATCGCACCTGTGGGGCGAATGTGGGCCTGCAAAAATTGAACAGCATCCCAAAAATTCCTTCGAAGGACATGACTACGAGTGCCTAAATTTGCTGGGTACTACCTTTAGGTATCATGTACTTCACTGAAAAAAGATTTAGGGTAAATCCTGATTTTTTCGATTTGACCCTCTACAAAAGGAGTAATAAAGAACTGAATCAACAAGATTTGAACTTAGTAGAAACAAATGTAAACTACGTGCAGCTTTCTTAACAAGTTTCATTGATCCGGCGACTGTAGCGTTACAGTATGCTACCGTAATCGACTGCATGACCTCATTCTCACACTGATGACCCGCCTAGAATAGGAATTTTCCTGCTTTGGAAGTAGGTTCCAGACAATATTTAGAGCAGGACAATTTTTCAAGAATGCGTACGAGTTACTTATACTACATACAGTGTGGTTGATTATTTTCAGGAAGCTGGTTGTGATGGTTCAAGCGACGAGAAAAAATGCTGCTGTGTAGGAGATTTGTGTAATTCAGCTTCCAAAGGATTCGCCATTGGACTTGCAGGACTCCTTCTAGCTTTCCGGCTATAAAACGTATTTTCTCGGAAATAAGAGAAATATGTACATAAATTGTATCATCTTTATCACTTTCACTTCAATCCCAGCATAATAAAGCAATAAATGTTCATTTGAAATGTGACCACAAATGGCAAATTTTCAAATAACATCAGAATGCGAATATAAAATATATATGTTCTAAAAATCTAGATCTCAAAAAGTAAAACTTCTCGACCCAGTTACACGAACATTAGAGATGAATAATAATGTAAAACTAACAGTGTCATGAATGTGACTGTAAAACCATCTAGCGATATACGATTAGCGATGAAAGCGACAGAAAGAGAGAGAGAGAGAACGAAGCGAAAATCCGAAAGATAGAAGAAGCACAGAAGATGCGCAAGAGATAGTTTTTTCACTCGAGATGCGAAGGCAAACTCCGGTTCCGACAAACTACAACCAGCTATACATGACCAGCACATGAGCGACGTGAGCGTGTCACGACATAAAGTCTTTGGTGATTATGCGTGAAAGTATTCGGTCCGAAAAAGTGTCCTCGTTGAATTGCGGCTCAGACATGTGGTAGATCTGAAAGTACATGTTTTTGCCTAAAAAATGAATCAAATATAAATATAGTATAATCGTATAATTAACATGTCTCCTAATTTTTTGTAACAGCTTCTAAAAAGGGAACAATTGCTCAAAGCAAATTAAAGCTCTTAATGATAGAGACGACAATTTAAAATGAGTGTTCAGAACTTGAAAGACGCAAACAAGCAAGATTTTCAGTGAGAAAACAGCGTTTCCTTATTAGTTGGTGACAAGTGATGGTTTGATTACAGTCAAACAAGATGTTTTCAAACGTCTCAGGCTTCTCAAAATTTCTGCAGGCCCATCACTCCTAAACTCGAAAAAAGAAGGCGTGGCCACACCCCAAAAAAATTCTAAAACTAATTTGAATCTTTAAGAATTTTCAAAGTTATTTTGACGTTTACAAGAATATACAAGTCAGTTGCACAATTTTTTAGCTCCTGTAAGTAAACTTCAAGAATTTCGCGAGTCATCCTCGGAGAAGGGGCGCCCACTACCCCCTCGCCCTCTCGCTCCGCCACTGGTAAGTAGAGGTTTCACAAAGAAGAACGTTTAATCTGCTCCACTATTCGATCTTTCAGAATAAAAAAGAAAGAAAAGTGAGATAGAAAGCGCTTCAAATTTTTCTCATATGTCTCCATTTTGACTCACAAAAGCTTCGTTGAAAGTTGGGCATTTTCATAACTGGCCCGATAAAGCTAAAAACCAACTTGTTCCCCCAAAGTGTCAATTTTGACAAGCTAAAAGAAAGAAGAATATCAAATCGAAGTTTTGCTCTACGGTAGGGGGGGGGGGGGAAACAAAATTTTTTTTCGAAAAAAGAGGTTCCTCATGCCTTCTTCTTTTATTTTAGGGATTTCTCCATTTCAGTAGACCTAGCAGCCAAGCCCCCGGATAGTTTTCCCAAAACTAATTTAATTTTCACAAAATTTCAAATTATTCTAGTTGCTTAGGGGAAGATAAGTCACTTTTAGAAGACCACAGTTAATGTGGATAAGATTCGAAAATTTTGCGAAGCAGTCTCATAGTGCCTCTTCAAGACATTTTGGACAAAGTCTTTTAGCTGTAGCTTATGCAGTCGTTTCGAAAACTTCCTAAAGATAGTGTAAGATTGTGCAGCTCGTCTTGGCAGAGAATCTCCCATAACTATAGACCAAAAGTCACTCCGCAGACAAAGAAGAGCAGACTCGCGAACAGCCGAAGCAATTTGCTACACATCACATCCGAGTGGACATGGTCACTCATCTTTTCCGCGCCAAATGCTTCAAAATGTGCTACAAATCCCGCGAGAGAGAACCAAGAAAAGAATAGAGGGAGAAAAAGGACATATTTACCTTCTGAATGAGTCGCAGGTCCATTATGCCAGTAATTTTCTCCAACGCTTCAGGTCGTCCATCAATTTCCTTTGCCAACTTCTTCATCTTCGAGCCATCTTTGTCATCGAAAATGCACACAAGAATATTCTTACTGGTATCTGCGATTCCAAATGTCACCAGGGAATCAGAAATCTATAAATAATATGCACACATTATTTTGATCATAGAGATCATTTTGTGGAGCAGATAAAAAATCTTTGGAATTCTTTTCATGGAAAGGAAACTCACATTTCGACTCGGCGATAAACTATAAACAAGCTCTGCGGCAAGGCTTCTACAAGAAAGTCTGTTGTGAGCAGCCTGATGCACTGCTCTGTTGGCGGCAGCAAGAACCACGAAAGGTTCCAATACCTGAAAACTGTAGATAGTAAACAAAAACTAACAAAAAAGCAAAAAGAAAAACAAAGTAAAGATCTGAGAATGACCAAGAGTTTACAAAGTATGTAGTCAGCCCCACCCACTCTACATTACCTTATGTGTATATTATTCTGCGGTTGTCAAAGGATTAGGCGAATAGCCGCCAAAGTCAGGAGTAAGCACATCATCCCCGAACACGACCCCGCTACCCTTTCATCCCCCTCTCCCCGCTCATTTTCCTCCGCCTTCCATTTCTGAAGATGTTACAAAAACTGTGCCGATTGCGACAATCACCTCTGAGTGAGAGCGAAATTTCCTAGAAATGATGACTAAACGGAGATTTTTTCCGCAAAACTTTCAAATTCTCGAGATCAAAACCCTGAGTTATTGTGCAAAAAAGGGGAGGGGGAGGACGTCAGCGAAAATTAAACTCAAATAATTCCCTCTGAGAAGTGATTAATGTTTGAAAAGGTGGAAGAGAAGGGTTTCAATAAGTCACAAGCAAGAAATAAGTTGTTGGGTATTGTTATAAGCCCTGTAAAACAATCACTAAAATTTGGAGACACACCCCATAATGGATTGATCGCTCCCCGCTCACTTTGCATTCACCACTCATAATCTCTATTTCTTTTTGTTTTGTTCTCCACACCAGGGCTATGTTCTGTCCATAGTCTGCAGATGCACAAAATACGCAAAAGTGGCGGTTCAGAACACGGGAGCAGTATGAGACATTTATGGCGGCCATAATATGTTGATTCATTTCATACTTACCAGTTCCGCACGAATTAGGGCTGCATCAATTTCTCCGCTTCTTAATTTATGTCGCAATTCATGCTGAAATAAGAACTCCTATCAAATACAAAAAAATATGATGTAGCAAAAACCTACAGCGTTCTTTACATCCACAAAAAGACATAAACGAATAGCCCGTCGCTGAGTAGCATCATACGGGTCTGGTTGAAGTTCGTAAAGACGAGACGCTCCAGGCGACATGCGTTTTTGACGCCTGAAATATAAGTTTTTAAAAAAAAAACTAGCGAAATCTGAGCGATGAAGTTGAATTGAGATGCGATTCTAGCTGAGCTGTCTTCAATAGTAAAATTACCAATTTTTTAAAAATTAGAATAACCTGCAGCATAGCAATGCGCGCACAATATTACCTACAGCGCCCATCCACGATAGCAGAGAAAATGTTTTGGAAAAAGTTAGCAAAAATTAAAAAAGTAATCCCAAAGTTGCACTAATATCATGAAAAAGCATGAAAGCGGATTATTTTCATTACAGCTCATTTAGATGGAGAAAGAGCTGGCTAATAGTACAATAAAAAACTTTTTTCACTGCCATCCGAAGTGTAATAACCTCACAACTTGTCGCAAGTCTCTGAGGAGTTTATGAAGTATTGCGAAGAAACTTATGTCCAAGGGAGGAGTTCGGCAACTAATCCCACATGAGCCATACATGGAGAGCAAACAGCGAAAATCTCTCATTCTGCGACAACAAAAAGTACCCCCTTGGACACAAGGCTTCAAGGAGAAGAATGTAAACACGTCAGATGAGGTCATGTAACAATGACAGTCCTTATAATTTTGCAGAGGAGAAAGAAATTTCCTAAACAAGGGGTATGGCAATGCATGGCAACGTCCTTTGCAAATTTTGCCTTTGCCTTTTAAATTTTCAACGAGCTTGCAAATATGCATTCAAAATAATTTTGTTATTATAGTATTCAAAGAATTATCCTAATTATTCAAATGCAAACAAGTTATTTGCACAAATTAATGCTATAAGTATGTTGCCTTTTCATCAGAACTGAGAAGACCAACTCACATATTGTACATTGGATCAAGATGCATGGTGCAAATACAGAACAATTTCAAATTGGCATTAGAGCAAGCAAATCTATTTGCATTCATCCATTCTTCTATTTTTTATTCATCAGCTTATTCTTATTTATCGCTAGCCGTAACCAAATTGCCAATTTTCTTTTCTCAAGATGCGATATGATTTCGAGAGCGCATCACTACCATTTATTACAAAAAACTGAGAAGCTTCATCCAGTAAAAAACCTGAAATAAAATTTTTGCTATGGAACGGCTAAGGGAATAATTCAGTCTCGCAAAGAAGAAAGCTATGGAACGGCCAAGGTAATAATTCAGACTCACAATGAAGAATGCGAGACGGGAATTATAGAAGAGAAACCTAAGGTCTGATTAGCATGGTCCATCGCTAAGGGAAATCGAATGTACGCAATTGCACAGCAAGTACAAAGACTCTAGTACAGATTTTAACTTAAGCTTCACACTAAGCGAATACGCACTATACCAGCCTCGAAAAGAAAAAGTTTTCTTTCTGTAAAATGAATGTTATTTCTTCAAATTTCCTACTATGAAAACTGGACAGCAAAGACTAGAATTCCTTGCTCGCTCGGTTGAAAAACACGAGGAGGCGAGAAAAGCTTATACTTCAGTTTTGAGAAACGCACTTTCAAGGATTCACAAAAAACTGCACTGCTTTGCATTACTAAGCCTAGGCAATCCGTTCCGCACACAAATGGTTGATAGCAGACACAAATCTTCTTTTTACTTTCATTGTTGCAGCCATAATCGGAAGCAGCACAGGTTCATTGCGAAATTACATTGTGACGCATGTGAATATGATTGGATTTTCCATGATTTTGTTTACTTAGGGAATTTTCCGCAAACCTAACTTAATGATGAGGATGGTTAAGCTGAACAATCAAGAATATTCCTAGTTTTATTATTTAGTATTTCTAGCATTATTTCCACTTGATTTTAAATGATCGGTACACATTTGAGGTACAAAAATATTGTTTAAATTCACTCTCAATTCACAACAACAAGGATTGTCCGCAGAAAAAAAGACATCTACAATATTATAAGATGAGCTGCTTTTTTTTTGAGAAGAAGTTTCACAATACGTTATATTTGGTTGTCCGGAAATTAATGTCTGTTTTGAAATTCAACCTCAATAAGTCATACATTTCTCATTTCTGAATAGGCTGCAAGGTACCGTTCGATAGAGCAAAGCAAGCCCTACAGAATGGCAATCTTGTTTTTGCAACAGCTCTCATTTACCTCGAGTTTCGAGCCAAAAACTAAAATGATTCAACTGCACGAAAAATTGAGAAAAATTGCAACTCAGTTTAAAAAAATCCTAAAAAAATTCTAACTGGCTCACGTAAACACTATCCACATAAGACATCTACATACGCCGTTGACGTCTTTTTTCACCTTTTGGAAATCAAGAAAACGGAAATGTTCGTGCATTTTCCAAAGTAATGCTGTGCAGTCCCCACATACGTAGTTGTGTACTACAAAGTTGTAGAAGTACAAACGTAAAATTTCAGCTCTCTATAAGCTTGAGTTATCGAGGAATTTGAATTTTGGCTTGGACCACCTGATTAGGGAAAGCCATATTCGATATTTCTCGAGAACCAAAGCTTGTAGAAAGCTAAAAACTTACGTTTGTACTTCTACAGGTTTGTAATACACAACTACGCATGTGGGGATTGCACAGCATCACACTGGAAAATGCGCGACGATTTCCAAAAGGTGTAAAAAGACGGCAACGGCGTGTGTAGGTGTCTTATGTGGATGGTGTTTGCGTGAGCAATTTAGAATTTTTGTAGGATTTTTATGAACTGAGTTACGATTTTTCTCAAGTTTCGTGCAGCTGAATCATTTTAGTTTTTGGCTCGAAACCCGAGGTTAATGAGAGCTGTTGCAAAAACAAGATCGCCGTTCTGTAGAGCTTGCTTTGCTCTATCGAATGGTACCTTGCAACTTATTCAGAAATGAGAAATATATGACACATTGAGGTTGGATTTCAAAACGGACATTAATCTCCAGCCTAATACATTTCATTTTCTCTTTACTCGTATTTCCGTACGACTTAAAAACTAAGTTTCGTGTGAAGGAAAAGACGAAACAGAATTTGTTATCTCAATTCCAAAGGGAAAATTCATGTGATACAATTCTTATGTTATTTAGTTACAGGAAGCAGTCCTTGGAAAAAAAATAGTCTCGAGATACCAATGCAAGCTACTGGAAAAGGGTGAAGTAAGCTTTGCAAACAACTAAATAATAAAAATCGAACAAAGCTAGCACGACTATAAAAAGAAAGCTTTTATGGCACTGCTTAAGAGTTTTGCCAATCTCAAGAGCACTTGCTTATGTTTTCGCTAGCAAAAATAAACGTTCCCTAGCAAAACATTATATATGGAAAATTGAAAGTCTTCGCAAGAAGACTTTCATCACAAATCGATAGAAAAGACATGGCAAACTCTATACATCAGCTAGCACGTCAACTAGCATAAAACATCGTGTGCTGAGTAAATATCACGGCGATATCCCAAGAGAAGAGTTGGATGACGGACTGGGAACATCGCGCATTTTGTTGGAGAGATCTTGATAGTGAGAAAGATATATGCGAGAATGGTTTTGATTTTTCGTTTTTCAAGGATGAGAAGAATGGGCGGAGAAAAGAATTCTTGATGGTAAGTAAGTAGACAATTTTCACCGTCGCCTGAAACATGACAATTTATCATTTAGAGAATTCCTGTTGTCGTTCTCTTTGGAATGCAAACATGCAATATGGACCTCTGCCAAACGTGTTGAAGAAAAGACCACGCTAAATGGAATGCTACATCTTTGTAACAGAATCTGAGACGGCAAGACATTCACCATGGCTCGTTCAAAAAACGCTCTTTTGCACCATTACAGTTAGCTTCGCATTAGGCTCTTTTTTCTCAGAATCATGTGAATACAGAACAAAGAACAGAGAAGTTCGATGGTGATCTGCCTTAAACGCCACCAGGCTGCGGTAGCATATGGTATTCGGCTTAAGGTCTCAACTTTTCTACAAATGTTCAAGGCATAGGAGGCAAGAAATGTTTCTAGTGTCAATGTTATAATTCATCAAAATTCTTGCCTTGCGCACTCAAGACTCCCCGATAGAGGCAGTTTGAGGCGAATTTATTTAGACGGGGTAATATTTACCATTCTCCCGATCACTAATTGGTTGCTGTTTTACCGTTATAAACGAGCATCCAATTGGGCGATGGGGCGCTTTCTTAGAAGTGGCCGAGAAACTGAAGAAAATAATCAGCCCCTAGACTTCGTATGTGAATGCTGATTGAAAGGCCTCAATAAAGTTACTGTCCAAGCGGAAGCTCATGAAATTTACTCTTGCCAGGATACTTAACTTCAGATTCTCGCCCACTACCGTGTTCAGGAACTTCGATTTCTCGCAAGATACGGTACTGGGCGACTAAAGCTAATTTTGCGCCCTTGAATAATTTTACATGCACTGCCGCTTGAGCAAAGGTTTGGAAGGAATCTCAATGAATTCCATTACAAAAACGACATGCCACTTTAAGATGGCTGTAATGCAATTTATTCATCTACTCGAAGTCGTTTCTCATTTCTTACGAAGGCGAGAAAAAATGGCTGAAACGTTGATAATAGAGATACAAATATCTCCAAAGGTTTTTTTCTCATAACACAGCGTGATTTCCTTTTCTACTGAGAGAATGAAGTTTTTTCCACACTCGCGATCGAGTTTTTTTTTACATCCTCGCAATGCGAGAAAAAGTGCAATTCCACGTATCTTTGCAAAGAAAAATTCGAAAAAAAAACTACACAGCTTTGTTCATCACTGCGCTTTGACAAAGATGTTACACACAACAAAGAAAAGTACTTCAGCAAAATTACACTTCCCTTAAGCGCAAAAACAATCAGAGGGGGGGGGGGAGGAAGAGGAAAATGGAGATGGAAATAGGCTGTGTATTCAAGCAGTGACAGATATGAGAAGGGAATGGTGAGCGCGAATCTCCGGCGGCCATGACTACTAGAGTGTCCTCGATCAAGGCAAAGCAAAAATTCGCGACTGAGGACATTCAACCCCAAACTAGTCGCCTTCTATTCTTAAGTGCAATTGCAGGCATGAAGGGATTGAATTTCCTTGCATTCGAAAGAAAAAAGTAGCCTT